GCATAAACCTAATTTTGACACTGTATAAAACTAAATTCAAAAGACTTTAACCTTTTAGACAGCAAAATGTCATAACTTTTAAGATTTATTAATAAGAATAAATTATAATAAATGATGATAAATCTAATCATTTTCAAAGTGGTCATTATTACGAAGATTAATAATATATTAGTGATTACACATTATAATTTATTATTAAATGAATTATTATTCGTTCTTTGTTTCTTCAAAGCTTAAGATCAATTATTCAAAATTTTAATTTATGAAATAATTTTTACAACGAATTATTTTAGTATTTTCGAAAATTGCTATGATTTATTAAATAGTCAAGATAAAAGATTGACATCTAAACTAATTTTAATTTATGAATAAATATATTTTTGTAAAATATTTCAACACACTTTTTGAGAAATTCGAGAAGAAGACTTCAGCCTAGAAATTTAAATATTATGTACATATAAGTGTGAAAAGGAAAAGATTTGTAAATATTATTTTATGTTAAGTTGAAAAAGAAAATGGTAGTTAATTGTTGACTTAATTGTCTTGTCAATTAGGGTTGCAATGGTTTTGTTTATGAACATGGGAACAAGCTGGTTATAGGGGACCACATTTTCTTGTATTGTAGTTTAATATTAGATGATACGTGTTTTAAGCAATGATAATAAAAATAATTAAGAATAATTTTTACACTAAAAGTGGATATATTAATAAAGTATTGTCAGCATAAAAATATGTAAATAATGAATTAAGAACGATTCTTTTTTATGATTTTCAGTAATTCATGTGCAAATTTGCAGTGTTTAAAAAAGAATAAGTAGAAAATAAATAGTTATATATATAAAATTGGAATTAACATTATCCTTGTTAACAACTTAAAATTTGTCGTATTCGAAGTTGTAAATTTAGAATAGGATGAATGAGTGGTGCCCCAAACAGAAACTAATGATTGGTCTTCCAAACGCTGCTCCAACAACTAAAGCCATTTTTACTATTTAAGCTAATTCATCATCACAATGCACAGTTAATGCTTTTTTTTCAGATTCAGTTACAACCCTTAAATTAATTCCAATTAGATCTAATATGTTTATGTAATTTGAAAAACATATATAAAATTTGAAAAGTTAGAAATTATTTTCAATATTAGAAATAATATTTTAATTTATGATTAATATTAAAAAATATTAAATATAATTAATAGAAAAAGATATTTATTTTAAAATTTTGATGATGTAAAATAAATAAAACAATCATTTAAAATATTAAAGGTTCTCATTAATTATTATTTAATTAAAAATTTGTAGTATAATTTAAAATGTTATAAAATGTAACTATGAGTAACCATGATAAATAATAAATATTTTCATATTAAGCTAACATAAATATATAAAAATTAATGTGAATATTTTAATAAGTATATGATTGTAGGAACTTATGATGTCTTCTCATATGAAAGTCTTAATAATCTTTGTCAGATAATAAAATTTTCCATGGATCTAATTTCAGAAGCTAAACCAATACCGTACATAATGAAATCAATTAAGTCGGTACCATTGAGATCTTATGTCACACAAAATATCTAAATTACAATATTAGTGCTCATTTCTCTTATATTCATTAGTAATAAACAACTACAATTTAATTTAATATATGTGAGAGCCCAGAAATTTAGTGTTATAAGAGGATAGATGTCTCAAAATAAAGAGATCAAGTGTTGCATGAGCATATAAATAAAAAATTTAAACAAATATGGTCTCATTATTTTCAGACTTTGTATCTCTCTAAAACAGAATCCTCTACCATTCCTCTCCCTTCTCTCTAGAAATTCTCACTTCTTCTTCATCTGATCATCAATCAGGTTGTGGCTGAGCCTTCTTGGTGTCAAGAGCTTTCCTTTGCACCGATCAAGTTGTTGTTTTGAGCTGGTAAGTTCAATTCCTTTGTCTTTCTGAAAAATCCTGCATTTCTTGTCACATGCAAGCCTTGTGCGGTCTTGCATGTGTTCATCAGCCTTTCATTCTGATTCCGTTTCTGTTTCGGTGGTCGGTTTTCTTTCACCGATCCAAAATTTATAGACTGTCTTGGTATCACTTGCAGTTTAGCAAACTGTGGAGAAATTAAAGTTGTCAAGTTGCTTTAAGGTAAAGGAAGCTAGATAATTTAATTACTTAATTTTGATGTATGAAAATGTTGTTTGATGATGTTGCATGTATGTGAAATTGAATGATTTTGTGTTCAATTGAGTTGGTGTAGATTGTTAAATGGCTATGTTCATGTTTTTTTGTATTTATGCTGAGTTTTTGGTTCATGGCAGAGTGAATTGTGAGGAAGTGGGATAATAATTGGAGAATTATGTCCGATATGAGTGTGGTCAGTATAGAGAATATGGGTAAGTGGTATAAGACTTGTTAGAACCCTTGAGTCACTAAAAACGGTACTAAAGTTAGGAAATCTGATTTTCGGTCTTTGAGTTAAGGATTCTGCATAATTGAAACTCATATCTGTGATGAAACTCTCTTAATGATGTTAGAAAGACTTAAACAATCTTAATCAAGTGTAAATGAAGTATTTGATATATGTTTGGAGGATTAGAAGTTGGAAGAATGTAGTGAATTGGTAAGGATTGGTGTTGATCTTAATTCTGCAGTTATTCTGCAGAATTATGTAGTTCGCTAAGGGTCGTTAATTGACCGTTCGGTTTCTCTCTGGTGCTCGGTCTTAACTGAGTTTCCCTTTTGTGGATCCTTAGTTCATGACCGATCGATCTTGTGTTGATATTCAAGTGAATATAGCAGTCGGTCTAGACATGACATTTGATTGTAAACAGCGTTCGGTCTATCATAGGCTTTCACTGTTATTGACCGCTCGATCATGTACTGTCTTGGTAATGCTCGGTTCGTTACCAGCACTCGGTCTCATAAGTGCTCGGTCTTGTACTAAGCGCTGGTCTCATTAGTGCTCAGTCTTGTACTAAGCACTCAGTCTCCGTAGTGCTGGGTCTTGCACTAAGCATTCGGTCTCATCATAATACTCAGTTATGTATTTGTAATAGGTACTAATGAGGTTCGACCTAAACTAAGAGTGTTCGGTCTTAGCCTTCGAGTAACGAGAGAACGCCAGTCTCACCATAAGTGTCCGATTCAACTAAAGTGTCCAATTTGGTAATAACGTTCGGTCATGTGAACCTCTAGGGAATGTTCTCCCGTCCGGTATTGTTTATGAATAGGGTGATCTCTTCCTTCCGGTCTTGATTCAGGGGTGGGATTTTGTGTTTACTAATTAGTTTGATTTGTATAAATGAAGAAGTATGATGGCATTAAAGTATGATGTGATTTGTATTATATGGATATGAACGAGTGTTCCAAGGAGGAATATCTCATGGATTGTTATTGAATGGTAAAGTATGAATGTGGTTATAGCTTAGCTAGCGTTTATTCTGATATTCTGGGATTACTAATTCTCAAGTAGAGAAGAGTAACTCATGTGTGAGAATGGCAGGAGGTCCTAGTCCATAAGGTGAACTTGGACGAGGTATAACGGACTAACCTCGGATGACAGCTGTTGAGGGCATCCCAACTACTACACCATCCGGGTGCAAAAACGTCGTAGCTACACAATTCATACAGTCCGGACAGTCAAAGTAAAAGTGGTCGGTCATTGCATATTTTATACGTTCGATCATTGCTGGAAATGTATGTTTGGTTGTTGCATGATTTACATGTTGGTTTTTGTTTACTCTTATGTTTGTCTGAATTATATGTTATCATAGTTAATTAAATTACACTAGCTTACCCTTATTTTTCCTGTCTTATCTTGTTGTCCATTCGATCATCTTTGTCATTGCAATAATCACCCTGTGAGTGTGAGTAGAACGCGAGGAGGGTTCTCTAGAACATACGCTGGCAAGAGAGGATGGTTTCCATTAGAGTAAGACTGTTCGGTCTTATGCTTGTTTTTGTATTCAGTAGAGGACCGTTCGGTTGATACACCTCTTGTATGACCCGGTCTATTCATATGATTTGTTTCAATACAGATTTTTGTAAAGTTTTTAATTTATGATTATTTTAGGATAACTGTAAATTAGCTTTATTTTTCTGTAACTGTTCTATTTTATTGTAAATGTAAGAACTCTAAAATATAGTTTACAACTATATTTTTGGGATGTTACAATATGTAAGATTTTTTTTTGTAAAATAATTGAGTCAAAATTATTATGCCATAATGGGCAGTAGTTCACGAATATAGGACTCAATTAAACTTTTATTTTATTTTGTCCAAGCATTAATTTCTTTATTTCATTGTATTTTGTTAAAAAGTTTGCGTGGCTTGGGTGGTAGTGATCATGATTCGTTAATCAAGATTTAATCTGCTTTGTAAAGCAAGGGCAATAAAACGAAAATATATTAGGAGAAAAGGAGAAAGAACAATAAAACTATTGATTTAATACTGGGAAATAAAAAAGAACATGGTATAATTCATTACACGAATTTATTTTAGGACCAAAGGTTAATAAAAATATATTTATAATGAAAGTCTCATTCGTGTTGTTCAGCCACAGCACTAAAAAAGCAAACTAGCCACCTATTTCCCCATCGCTATTTATACCTAACTTTATCTGAAAAAGTATCTATATTATATGAAAAAACAAATGCATAACATCTGTGTAATGCTTGACAAAGAAACCTTAACGTACCCAAAAAAGAAAACAGATCTTAACTTACTACATTCATCACTTATTTACACATATTAGTATATTAATAATTTAACATATCGATATCATATTTTTTACTCGTATAACATCTTATAAATCTATTAGAATAAGTTCATATGCAGAGAATTTGAACCATATGTATGAGACTGAGGTTGCAGTATCTAATTTATGTCTCCATTATAAGTATCTGAAATAGAATTTATGACTTAGTGAAAGGAGCATGTCCTATTTCATTTTTCTTTCTGTGTGAACGAGATCTAGAGAAGTTCAGTTAAGTAATCAAAACCACACAAAAATGGAAACTCCAATACTAACATTGCAAAGAAATTTGAAAAATATGAAAGAGAGGCACCATTATAATAAGTAGTAGAACTGAGAGCAATTCGCCAACAAACCAACCACCCTACTTAATTTCCTTCTCCACCATATGCCTAAAAAAAACAAAAGATCAATACCTTTTGTCAAAGTTTGTTGACTATGAAGACATGCATCATCATCTTGAATCACCAACCGTTATTAGCTCATAAGTTGCTCAATAAAAGTTAGGTCACCGAATAACTACAGCTCCCTATTGTCATGATTTCAAAACTTTCAATTGTATTTGTCGTATCTATTCTTTTGAGAGTCAATCTCCGACCATTGTTGCATTAATTCTATGTACCTCTCTTTATGATATTTACTACTGAACCTTTTCCTTTTCTTATATTTCCCTAATTCACACCTTCATTACCTTCCGCCATTGTCTTGGTAGAGCCTTCAGCTAGTATGGTCTTTTTTCCAATTTTAATATATATCTACAAACACTATTTTCCTCACTGATGTATATGTATGACACGTGCAGAGCAACCCCCAAAATATACCAAATTATAAGAAAGTCATGGAGACAACCTCATCTAATTTTAATATTTCAGGAACATAATCAAATCATCATATGTTTGGGTTTATTTTTAACTTAAATTCTAGTAAATAGATTTTTACTTTATTTTTTAATATCATAAGACTTTTACTTTGTTTAGGAAAAAAAATATATTCCAAATCTTAATTTAAAACTAATTTAAGGGTAGAAACAAGTCAAATAAAAGAAAATTGCCAACCTTTTGATCCAGCTGCCACTGAAAGAGCAACTACATTTTATATATATACTTTCATAAAACGCTATTATTTCGTCTTACAGTTATACATGATAGCCGGTGCTTTATGTCCTTAACAAACAAATTTCTTTTTAAATGCTAGAATGTTAGCTATGGACTGAACACAGTTATACACTCCAAGAAATAAAAAAAGATCATTAGGCACTAATTTATACATTCTAATTAGAAACGTACCTTGATAGTTAATGAGTTGAGGTGGTATCATCAACAACACAATTAATGTTAACATAGTGAATATCTTCAAAACCTTCCCAGAATTGGTTCAGACTCCGTTTTTAGAAGAGCATGGGGGCCTGAAACAATATTCTTTCAGACACAGTCATGGAGGATTTGGCAGATATGGAGTTGAGAAATAATTCAATAGTTGCTTTCTAGAAGAGGTTGCATGTTAAAAAACAAAGCATTTAGCTGTTAATATATCAAACTAGCATCAAAGTTACGATGGTGAAAAATGAACACAGAAGGAAACATTTGGAAAACATTGAATTTCCATTTGACATTATTGAACAGATATATATGCCACACATAATGAATTCAAGCAATAACCACAGTTTCCTAATAATAGATTATTGACGTAAGAAAGACTCCTAACATAATCACCTGACCTGATTGTAACACTAATTTCACTGGGAAGCACAACAAAACCAATTCACATAATAAATTCCAAATAACATAAAAATAAATATTTATAAAGGTATATGTTTTTTGTGCTATTAACAATTTAGGCCACGTGGAGAATATAAATTTCTCATCCATGATTTTCACCTTATAGTTTGACCGAGAGACCAATATCAATGTTTATAGTAGATTCAGCAAGTGATTTGTAACTAGACTGCCAAAAAATCATCGAATTCATTAGTTGGTCCGGAGAAGAAACAGAGAGGATAATTCAAATTAAGTTAGACACTGCAATCCAAAACAAAATATATTATGCATTTCCAGTTAGGAATTGAGAAATATATTGCGATCTGAAAATCAACAATTTTAGTAGAGTTTATCCTATTTTATTACGGACCTTATGTACTGGATCTCCATGTCTACAATGATTATGATTGCATTCAAGAACCTATCATAAATTGCAATCTTTTATGACCACGATAGGTCTCTGTCACTTTTAAATTGACATGTATGCATCTTTCTTCATCACTCGGGCAAAGTTCAAGAAACAGTGAAAACATGCCCGAAATCATGAAAAGGGTCACAATAATTTGCACTACAAAAGATGAAATCTGAGAGACACCTACAAACAACGGTCGAGAGAGAAGGCAGGCAAGGACGCAAACTTATCATGAGAATGGATTCAAAAGGCAGAAAAGGCGCATGGTCAATTGCAGACAGAGAGTGAATAAAAGTTCAAGAGTGACATAGGCTTGTGGAAGAAAGATACTTCCACAGTAACAAAAATATTCTTGAGCACTTTTGGAGATATTGAAAACGAAGAGAAAAATTAGGGTGGAAATGGAAACCCTAATCGAAAAAGCGAAAGTCTTACCTTTATGGGTGCACCTTACTTAAAACAAAGGCCTAGAAGCGGGGAAGCCGTGACCGGCGAACGGTGATCCGGAGGCTTGCAAATGGTGACATAAAGTCCTTTGACGGCGACACGATGGCCCGCGGCGGCCCGCGGTGGCCTGTGAGCAAGCACACGGTGGCTTGCGTCCCAGAACCTTGTGGCTTGCAAGCATGGAGAATGTTCAATCTTCTTACAAACATGAATGTGACAGATTAGGGCGTATCTTTGTTAAAGAGGAAGAAACCAAAATATAATTACAACATAATTTAAGAAATAGTTAATTATTAGCAATCATTTTTTTTTCTCTATAGTTTTAATTGAACAAAACAATAATATTATAAGTAATTATAAAATTGGCCTCTATAATTGTATTTTCCATTATTTAATAAAAACCTTTTTTTTAGATAAAATGGCTGCTTATACAATAAACAAATTAAAGTTAAAATTTGTGGAGTGATATTTTTTCAAAAATACTAAAAAAATTAATTACAGCAGTGTCCTTTTTTCAGTCAGTAACTATAAATTATAGCAAAGTCAAAATTAAAATTTAACAAAAGAAAAAGAACTTTTATCTCAGTCTCATGACAGATTTGATGACTGAATAATATTTTATAAACAATTTTAAAAATTCAATCACTATATTTTAATCACTTTAATCACTACATGCCATTCTTAAGTAATTTTTTCAGTAGTGAGCATAATTTTTTTTCTACTATATCACATGATAAAGTTGACTAAAACTGTACAATTGCTTCATCTGTACCTTTTTAAACTCTCACAGTTTCCTATGTCATAAATTCAAGTTTTGACCTTAAAAATTCCATGTTCTAACAAATAATCTTCAAGAATTAAGGATTATGTTATGAAATTTTGGTAACTAAAATTAAAATATCCTCTCTTTCACAGTTTTAACTTAAATTCCAAGTTTGAGCTCACTATGCACCAGTACCAACTCATAAAAAACTTTCTAACCTTTGCTTGGATCTTAAGTAAACTACCTTACTGATCTAAAACACTGTATCAATATAAAGTGAAGGAAAAGCTTCACAAACAAAACAAATGAATGTTCAAAATGTCAATCACAACAAGAAAATATCAAGCAGTTGCTGTTTCATTGCTGTTGGGGTCACTGAATGTGTATTCCTTTGAATGTGAAGATGATAGCTGCAAAACTGGGTTGTGCAACAGCTCTGGTGCCTGCATTTGCAACCTCCCAGATCCTTCCACCATATTAAACGGAAATAGAACTTTCCTCGGGTAAAAAAAACACTTCAAATCTCAAAAAACTTGATTTCAACTACTCTTTCTTCAAAGCATTCATACTAGGTTTTATCAGTTTCTTGAAGCAGAACTGCTATTTCTCATCGTTATCAGCATTAAGGGGTGGGGATAAAAACTGTGTCTTTAATTAATTAGGCCTGTCAGAAGTAAAAGGGTCTTGCTTTTTGGAAGAAAAGAGTTCCTATGTTTTGTTTCCATGATCATATTTGAAATCAAACTCTTGTTAAATTATGATCTTTGTTATTATAGAAACCTGTGAAGAAATATGGCTAATGTGGCCACAGTGCTGCCAAAGTGATTCTAAAAATCTCAAGGTTGTGGCCAAAATGGCCTTCACATTCTATTTTAAAGAACCTTGTTTGATATCATACCATGAATGGTAATAGTATTAGGCCTTCTGATTCAATATGGGTTTTTGAAATTTCTGAGAATGAGAGTGCAGGGGTAAGTTTTGTGATGAAGAAATGACAATGTGTGATGGAACAAACTCCTTCTGGTGTGAGCATGGGGGAGCTTGTGAGGAAATTGTTCAAGGAGAGAAGTACTCATGCAAATGTCCCCCTGGATTTGGTGGGGAACATTGTGAGCATTCTGGAGCACCCTGTGGTCAGAGTTTTTGTTTCCATAATGCAGAATGCTTGGCTGAAGCAGGTGATGTTTGCCAGTGCCCATCTGAATGGAGAGGCAGTGCTGATTGCTCTCTTCTAACCAAACCAACAGGTTCTCTGCCTTCTCCCTTTCACAAATCAAAACCCTATTTGATGCTGCTGAAATGAAGACTTGTACTATATGTTTAACCATTTGGAATAACTTGATTGTTCACTTCTGCTTATGCCATTGAATAAAAATACCCTTGGTTTTCATCAATCTCAACATGGCACATTCAAATGCATTCTGCAGTCATTAGTTACTGAGGTTAGAATGCTTGATATATAGGCTTACCTGATGAATTTTCTACCACAGATTTTACCTCAAATTCAACTGAGACAAAATTGTCTAAGGTCAGCAGCAGCAGCAGTGACTCCAATGTGAGGGTGACAAAATCGTCTTACATCAATAACTAATCATCATCATCATTATTATTATCTGATTTTACAATTTGATAACCATGTGTTAATGTGCAAGTGCAGAAGACACTAGGTGTCTTAGCTTTATCTTCAGTGGGAGCAGCTGTTGCTGGTGCCATTTATGGAAAGAAAGTATTCAGCAAGAAAAAGAGAGAGGCAGTTAAGTTCCAACAATTATCTGAAATGCAGGCAAGTGGGATATTGGATGATGATGATGATGATGATGAAGATGAAGATCACTGTAGGGTACCCCAGAGGATTCGTGGTGATATCTCACACATTTAGTGGGCACTTCTTTTCCCAGCATATATAAGAACATTTCGGACTCTTAGCTAGTAGTGTTTATATCTTTTAGTTCTCATAATTTGCAGTGTATTGTTTATTTTGTAATCTTGAGGACTGATATTTATATGATTGTAATTAATAAAATTAGTATTATTATTCGGTCTAATAGTCTCGTATAGTTTAAGAATAGATAGTTTAAATATTTTTTTGTACGTATTGTTTAAGACAAAACCAATTAATTAACTAAAAGATTAGATACATGTTTTTTTTAAAGTACACAAATCAATTAGTTAATTATGTATGATATTAGAAGTTATCTCCAACACAATTTTATGAATCTGTCTTTTTATCTCACTGATCTCAAGCTAATGTTTCTCAATTTCAATTCTTCACTAAAATAACAATAGAAAAAAAAAGTTAAAAATTGACAATTAATCTGCTAGAAACATCACTCTAGAAGAAGAGGCCCAATAGGTGCTCTTGTATCATTTGAATTATTTTTAGTTAGAAGACTCAAAGAGTTAAAAGAATACATAATAGATATTATTATTGCGCAATAATATATATGATTGTACACATTCCTATAGTAATAGGTATATTGAGATCAATATATAAATTTAGAAAATGAACACTTAGAAAAATATGACATACTGTAATAGAATTCTGAAAACAAATCTTATAAGAAATTTACACACTATTTTCAACTACCGTGTTTATAATTTTTTCTTTTTATATTTCACTTAACTTATTAATCTTTATCTAATATAAAACTTTCGAGTCATATTAAATTTCTGACCATGATAAAATAAAAAGGATTCAAATCAAATGTTCTTAAAATCATCCAGAAAATTTTCTATAGGTTTCACACAGGACATCATAATAAACATTTGTATAAGTATGAAAAAAAAAACATATGATGTTATAAATGTAATGTATTGTAGTAGTGTTAAAGCAATAATTTCAAATACAGTTTATTCAATGTTCAAACTAACATAATTAAAAATACATCTTAATTATTTAATTAAGAAATATAAGTTTTCATTATTTTTGTCAATGTTAATAATATATATATATATATATATATATATATAGTTTATATTAAATTCTAAATTCAAATAAAAAGTTTGATTCAATCTAATAAAAAAATAGTTTTCTTAATTTCAGTTTACTTGATTTTTTATTTATTCCATCTTAAATTTTTTAAGTGATTTTGTTTTCAATTTTTGTTGATTCAATCTGTTCACAACACGTTAAGTAGAAGTAACTGAAATGAACATTGAAACTACATAGTAAAGCAGCATTCTCTACGCGATCATTTAAAAAATAACGCGTCTTGGTTGCTAATTTTGGTTACTTTCGCTGAAATAAGAATTAAGATACTTATATAATATATAATCATTGCTATATAAAATAATATATTTCGTCATTACCATATTTCAAATATTTATATATTTTCATAATTCACAATTATATCTATTATTTTAAATATTTCTATACCTTTTACATTAAAAATAATTCAGAAGTATATTTAAAATAACAATGATGTAAACAACTATACATTACAAGCATAGTAATATATTAAGTATATATTAATCAATTGTTTTTGAAGAACA